TGGCGGTGGGGGGGGGGCAGCCTCGAGCTGGAAGTGAGGGTGCATGCACAATTCTTACTGTTTTGTGTTTCTTAAAATTTTAAGTTAAAAATGAAAACAACAGGTATTTTGACAAAGTTAAAAAAAAAAAAAAATGACACAGTGGACCCCAGGAGGGCAAGGCCAGGCCTGCTGTCCCTGGCAGCTACCGAGCACACTGCCTCCAGCTGCCAGTTGTGCAGCCAGGACGCTGTGGGGGGCCGAGGCAGAGAGCTGCCCCCACAGGCACAGAGAGCCACCTGGGGCTGGGGACTTGGGGAGATGCAGGTGGCTTGGAGGACGAGGAGGACACTCCAGGTGGGGCTGCCACGGGGGTGCTGGGCGTTCCATGCAGAGGCAGTCAGCGGCGGGGCTGGGAGTCCCTCCTGAGGCCACCAGAGCCCACTGCCACAGGGGGTGGGAGTGTGGGTCTCAGCGCCAAGGGTCCTAGTAGAGTCCCAGTTCTGACCGTGACCCCAGGTGATGGGGTTGGGCTGGGGCACGCTGAGGCCAGTCTGCGCCCCCACCGGCCCTCTCTGACCACCTCCAGTGCTGGGGACAGGAGGAGGCGCAACGTGGCGACACTAGCCAGCTTTCCTCCGGGTCCCGGGGACTAACCACTCTTGGCCTGTCTGCAGGCGCCCCTGGGAACTGCTCGGGAAACCCGTGTCAGAACGGAGGCACGTGCGTGCCGGGCGCGGACGCCCACAGCTGTGACTGCAGCCCGGGGTTCAAGGGCAGGCGCTGTGAGCTCGGTAAGTGGGGCCACTCGCCCAGTCTGCCCGGCCGAGACAGCCACTGCAGCGGGCTGCGAGGCCTCTGGCCTGGGGACTTCAAAGTGCGGTGCTAGGCCAGGGGCCGGGGCCTCGGGCGCAGACCTCCGAGTGCCCAAGTGGGGGGCCGGTGGGCAGTGAGCCACTGGGCACCCCCAGCTCCCGGAGCGCCTGGGTGAAAGGTGCTGCCTGGGCAATGAGCCGGGGGCCATTAGAGAGCGACGGGCAGAGCGGCCACCGTGAGAGGCGGGGGTGGGGGCTGCCTCTGGCTCAGGGGCCGACGTGGGGGCAGGGGAGGGCCACAGGCCTCCCGGGGCAGGCGGAGTTCCCGTGCCAGCGACGCAACCCGGTGAGCCCCGAGGGTCAGAGCCGCCACGGCCGGGGCCCCCAGGGGCGCAGGGAGAGTGTGCCGCGGCCCCGAGCCCCCATGAGCACAGCCCTTCTGTGTGTCACAGCCTGTAGGAAGGTGCCCCAGCCCTGCACGCGGCTCTTCTCGGAGACGAAGTCCTTGCCGGTCTGGGACGGAGGCGTCTGTCACCATGTGTGAGTCTCTCCCGCCCTCATGCCTGTGGCACTCCTGACCTCCCGAGGCGCTTCCACCAGGCCCGGCTCGCCCGCCCTCACAGGCGCGAGGGGGCTCCGCACAGCCACAGAGGGGCTTGCTTTGCCGGCCCGCTCCCTCCATTGGACAGGCTGGGAAACCGAGGCAGAAAGCCTGAATCCCGTGCCCAAGGCATGCAGCTGGGGGCAGAGGCACAGGAGGCCAGGACCCGGCCCTCGGCCCCTGTCCCCCTCTGCCTCAGTCTTCCCATCGGTGAGGCAGGCTGTGGAGATTTTGCCTAACTCACCTCTTGGGACCCCTCCTGCCAGCGCGCCGACCCCGCGTCCTTAGTCCGTTTATCGGCACACACGTCGAGCAGCCTGTGCCAGGCACAGCCCCGGGGCCCCAGCCCACCCGCCTCGGCCCCCACCCCAGGTGACAGAGCACGGGCACGCTTCACGGCGTGTTCCCAAGTGGTCAGCGCTGAGGGCAAGAGATGAACCCGGGGCTGGCTGCGGCAGTAAGCGGTGTCAGGGTGAACCTCGTGGACAGGTGACATGGCGTACCCACGGAGGCGTGAGGGTGTCTGAGGGAAGGATGTCAGAGTCAGAATGTCAGCTGCCCAGGCTCTGAACAAGGAGTGTGCCCGCGTGGGGCTGGGGCTGAGGGCGGGGGCAGGGCACGCCAGCGGGGCCTCTGAGAGCCTGGGGACTCTGGCCTTTGTTCTCTGTGACATGGGGAGCAACTGGAGGGCGCTGAGCAGAGGGACGTGTTTGAGGGCATGTGGGAAGGCGAGGTCAGAGGCTTGGTCTGAGATTGGTCACAAAGCCCAGCCTCACACAAGCAGGACAACGCAAGACACGCCAAGCTGCACTGGGGGACTTGGGACTCCACGTCTATAAGCCATCTGAATTGGGGTCCATGCAACGGCAGTCCAGCCACAGGAGCCACCAGCCAAGGCCACCCAGGCCCTGACAGAGAGCTCGCCACTTGCCATAGCTTCCGCCGCTCGCTGCTGCCCTATGCACCTGCAGTACGGCCCAGCGCACGGCCGGGCCCTGCGTCACATGCGCTCGGACGCCGCTGGGCCTCGCTGGGCCTCGCTGGGCCAGGCTGACGTGACCGGGTCTGAAGCAGCCCCCTCGCTGTTTGTTTTTGGTCCGCCCCAGCTGATCTGTCCCGTTCTCCTCGTTCCCGGCCACGTCGAGTATTGTTTAGGGTTGTGTTCTACCTCGACTGGCGGCTCTGCTCACGCTGCTCTGGTTTGGTGTTGTATGGTTGCTCTGGGGTTTGCAGGCAGCTTCCACTTGCCTCAGCACCACCGAGCAGCCTGTAGGTGACGGCGACCCTCCGACAGAGCCCCACGTGGTCCTCGTGCTGACTTCCGTCAGGCACGTTACCTCCGCACGCGCTCTGAACTGCGGACGACCCCCTGAAACGCTGAGCGAAGCCATCCGCCTTGACCTGCGTGCCCGTTGCTGGCACTCAGTGCTTCGGGTGCCACCTGCCGCTGCCTAGAGCCCTAGCTCTAGCATTTCCTGTAGAGCAGGTCTGCTGGTGATGAGTTCCGCTTCTGTCCGAAAAGGTTATTTCGCCTTCATTTTTGAAGGACGAGTTGCTAAATATAGAATTCTGGGTTGACGCTTGTGGTTTTCTGTTCACGCTTCGCCTCTGGCTGGCCTAGTTCCAGGCGAGAAGACTGCAGTCATCTTATCCTTGTCCAGAGTGTGAAACGTGTCCCCACCCGCTACGGCTGCTTTGGGTTTATTACCGGCTTTAGGAAATTTAACCGTGATGTGCTTTGGCAGGGTTGCGTATGTGTGCGCTCTGGGTTTTTAGCTTTCAGCAAATTTGGAAATTTGGGGCCAGTATTTCTTTAAATATCTTTTCTGTTCCTCCATTTCTTGCCACTCCTTCTGGGACTCCAAAGGATCATGTGTGAGACTGATGTTGTCCCACAGGTCACAGGCTCTTTTCATTTTGTCTTTTTCCTACTTCGTTTTGAATAGATCCTATTCTGTGCCTTCAAGGTCACTAATCTCTTCCGCGTCTAACTCGCCGTCAGCCCCATCCAGAGGATCGTCACTCAGATGCCGTGCTCCGCCACCCCCAGAAGTTCCATCTGGCTCTCTCTCCGCCCCCCCACCTGTTTATTTTCCTTTCGCTCACCGAACATGTGGAACAAGTTTATAATAGATGGTTCAAGGTCATCATCTGCCGTTTGTCATTGCTCTCATTTCTGGGTGTTTTCCTATTATTTTTTACATGTTTATGAGTCACATTTTCTGGATTCTTTGTGTGGTTCTTTGTGTGACTCTTTGAACGTCTTGTTATTTTTCGTTGGATGCTGGATACTAGAAACTATGTAACTGCGTGCTGGATTTTTATTATTTTTTGTTGTATGCTTTTCAAGAGCTTTTTTTTTTTTTTCTGCAAGGCAGTTAGTTATTTTAGTTTGATTCTTTTGAGCCTTGCTTTAGGGTGTCTTCAGCACCACCTTTTCTCTGGGACCAATTTTGCCCACCCCTGAGGCACGGCCTTTCTGGGGTTTCTGTCTCTGTGGCATGGCCTGTTCTTAATCGAGGCCGCCCCACCCTGGCCCTGGGGACTGCCCGCCTCCTCAAGAGCTCTTGCCCAGCCTCATGGGGTTTCGCCCTGTGAGCGCTCAGCTGGCCTCCCAAGGGGGCCACTCTCCAGAGCTCTGAAGTGCTCCCTCCGCGCAGCCCGCTCCTCTCCAGCGTGCCACCCCCGCCTGCCCAGCTCCATCTCCATTTGCTCAACTCAGTGCAGCCGCTACGTGGACGCCCCGCCCCCACCCCCTGCGGTGGACTCCGAAAGGTGCCTGCAGCCTGCACTCGGGGCGGTCACAGGCCTTTCTCATGTGTCCCCTCCTCTCAGGGGTCACGGTCTCCCTCTGCCTGTCTCCTCGCATCTGAAGGCACTTCCTACGTCTGGTCCAGCTCTCTGGTTGTCGTGCTGGCAGGCTGGTTCCCGACCCTGCTGCTCCATGGTGGCCGGAGTCCTGCCAAGGCCTGGCACCTTCAAGGTTCTCCTAGGCAGGGCGCACGAGCCAGAGGTTTGCCATCGGCTCCCTGGATCTCTCAGCAGCTCTGACGCTTGAGAGCATTAACGAGAGCCAAAAGCTCTCACAGTCACTGTCACCTATGAACTTGAGGCAGCACGAGTAATTCCCCTTTGCACAAAACTTAAGCGGACATCCCAGAGACGTGCTCGGAGCAGACCGGTTAATGGACGGGAGGCAGGGCTGGGCTTCTGGTCAGGTGTCCCTTTCCACGCTGCCCACATCTGACACCTGCACCTCCAAGGCTCCTCGAGCTGCTTCCTCAACTGCCAGACAGAAAAGGGAGGTTGCAGCATCTCAAGACCGACTGGGCTGCCTAAACCTTCGAAATGCTTCGTTTTATCTTAACATCATAGGCCTTTGTCAAAACTTCTCAAAACATACACTTAAAAGGGGTGTATCTTATTTTACATAAATTATCCTTGGTAAAGTTAATTTTTTTAAATTGCGTGACTTTTACGTGGGCCTGTAGTACATCCTATGAGGTAAAGGTTTACTGAGAACGCAGCCTGTCCCTCAGACACCTGCGGTCCCCGCGCGTCCACACGGGCCCGCTGCTCCAGCTCCCGTCTTCACACAGCTCTCTCGCGACAGGTACAAGAGACTCTACAGAGTGCGCCAGGACGTCTGCTTCCAAGAGAGCTGTGAAAGCACGAGCCCCGGGAAGACCCCGCACAGGTGCCTCTCGGGGAGGAGGCCCACGCTGCATCCTGCAGTGCCCAGGGTCGCAGGCCAGGGTGGCCCTGGGGACTGAGCGCCATGGGAGACCACGGGCCTGGGCGCTGAGCCAGGCTGTCCGCGTGCCCAGCGGCGCCGCCCTGTGCAGGGAGCAAGGG